TTGGTATACAAAAGACAAACAAAATACTGTACTTCAGAATCAGCTGTTTAACTTCCTTCAGACTTCAGCCGTAAGTATAAGCTGTGTCCTAAGTGTATGGAATTATATAAATACCAAATTGATACATTATGGCCATCTTTAACATCTGTTATAGCAGCTGTTAAGCAGCACTCTGGTTCTGTGTGATTAGGGTAGCTGTAGGTAATTTTCTGCCTTTTTTGATAGTTTAGTGGTGTCAGTGATAGTCAGTGTTTGACTTTCCATTTACACGGTAAAAGTGGTACTTGGTCTTAGATTAAATCATGACATTATTTTGAGGGCTTGTTTTCAGGAGATGTCTTTTCTCGCATAAACAGTGCTGTGTCCCACCTAACACTGGAGCATGGCTACAGAGCTACAGGAGGCATTTTGCTTCGAGGGACCAGACTACAAACAGACAAAACAGACAACACCTAAGTCCTCAGCTTGTGCACTTCTGTTAGTTTTTCCAGTAGGGAGACCACTGTGCTCTAAGAGGACAGCGGGAGAGTTTACTGTGGAAAGGTATTTTCTTCAGTCCAGGTGTGAAGTAATGGAATTGTTTATAGTATGAAAGCAAGCTCATCAGATAAAGCACTCCAGAATCTAATTACACATGCAAAAAAAATTTGTTCAGACTGGTGTGGCATAGAAAAGATGTTTAGTGGAATGATATCTTTTGAAAGAAGACTTAAGACTTTAGTCCTAGTACAAGGTAATTTGAGATGATTGCTCCTCTACGATGTGATAGGAAAGTCAGTGTCTAGGAGGAGACCTCTGACCTGCGATGTGCTTAGCAGTGTCCTTTCAAGCACTGGTATGTTTCATCATACCCTCTTGCAGTCTTCTCTGCTTGAAGCATGTTTTCGGTTATGTCTCCTGGATTACTGCTTAGATAGATCTCTTCATCCTGCTCATTCTCCTCTACTTCCAAAGCCTGCCCTAGTCTGTCATCTTGATCACAGTCTACAACTTCCTTGTGAGGGGAAGAGGATGAGTAGACACTGATCTCTTCTGTGTGGTGACCAGTGACAGGACCTGAGGGAATGGCCTGAAGTTGTGTCAGGAGAGGTTTATGCTGGATATGAGAAAAATGTTCTTCACCCAGAGGGTGGTTGGGCACTGGAACAGGCTCCCCAGGGAAGTGGTCACAGTACCAAGCCTGACAGAGTTCAGGAAGCATTTGAATGATACTCACCCACATGGTGTGATTCTTGGCAATGGTCCTGTGCAGGGCTAAGGGTTGGATTCAATGGTCCTTATGGATTCCTTCCTTCAGAAGATTCCGTGGTTTGGGATCCTTAAATATTTGGAGTCTCTTCCTTTGGCTTTTAGTTTCTGATTAGAGACCAGTGTCAGGGAGTAAGAATAGCTTAAATAACACTATCTCTTAGCATTTGAACCTTTTACACTGCTTTGATTCCTTTGTCAAATCCTTTTGGTCTGCCAAGTAAATTCAACACAACTAAGGGATACAGAATTTCTTTGTGATGGATATTTTCACCCATGGTGTACAAGCATGGTTGTGGACAGTAGGGGAGAAATCAATTCACACTACTGGTTGATCATTTGCAGTAATATAGCAGTCTAACTGCTGTTGCAAAATTAATACTTTTTGTATGAAAGAAACAAAGCAGAACAACAGGGCTTCTGAGGTAACATGATGATTGATACGTATGCTACATCCACAGAAGGAAAGTTGCACCAACTCTGAGTCAGCTTTAAACCTTAGGGAAATTCTGGTTTGGCTCCAGTTTTACAAAAAATTGAAGTTGTAGCTAACTTCTCTGGTTATTCAACAGGCATTTCTCCTCCTGCAAAACTGATCTGTAATTTGTGGACCAGGGGACTGGTTTGTCACAACTTATTGTCGCTTCTGAACTTTTAGACCTTTTATCAGGTAGACCAAGTGGTGTCCTGAGAAAGCTTTGTAGAAGGATTTGTGTGGTTGCAGGGAATTAAAGACAGTAACCACCGTACAGTTCTGGAATTTTTGGTATTTTATGTATGCCTGAGAAGTGTTTGTGTCTGGTTCTGTACTGGGTTGTCAAAGACAACTGTTGTTTATTAAGGCTCATTTTCCAAACTGCGGCCTATTATTTTTGTTCAGTGCTTTTTGCTCAAACGGGTTTAGAAAGGACCAGGGAAAAGTTTATATTTTAGATTAATGTGTTTAATTTTTTTTCTCTAGAAAAAAATCCCATTAATATGGTACATTATAACATTCATAGGGAATTTGAATTTTTCTGGTCTGGGAGAAGATTAATGCCAAACAAGAAAACCTTTTGAAGTTCAGAAAATTTTATGCAGTATAAAGAACTTTATGCACATCTGCCAGCAAGTTTTTGTTTCACAGAAACTATTCAGATCGGAAGAGAGGAAGTTCCTCTGACTTTTAAAATATATTGATGAATAATGTATTTTTGAACTTCATTAGAATGAAACTTAGTCCACTGCCTTGGTTTATGGATTTCGTAGCACTTTCCCTTAAACACAACTAATGTTTATAATAACTTGCTTGGATACAATGTATGATCCCGTAGTAAGTATAGGCCTTGGCTTTGAAAATATTCCTTGTGACAACTGTTCTTTATTTAGAAACTAGAGACAACTTTTCTCTTTTTTTTCTTTTAGATGTTATTTTGAGTGGGTTTGCTAGTAGTACCAAATGTACAATATATGTTCAATTTGAGAAACTTATTTTCGTATCGACAATCCTGGTGTCTCTAAGTCTTTTTTCTTTGCCCTGATATTTGCAAATACAGTTCTTTTATGTGCAGTTACCACTAACAGTTGTAGTTAGCGTCACTTGTTTCTTAAATGCTCTTTATCTAATTTTTTTTATGGATTCCTGACTTTTATGCTCTTTTTACAAAGCATTTATGAATACTGACTCACGCATAAAAATGTAAGAACTGCTTTAAATTACTTGTGACTAGATAAACAATATTTTACTGGTTTTAGAAAAGGAAAGGAAGATTTCGGAAGGAATGATCTTCTCCAGAAGGTCAGCTAAAATTCTTCTGATACTTAAGAACCACCTACTAAGTGCTGTGTGAAGCTATAGTTATCAGAAGTGTAAGGACAAATCCTTAGGTAGATTTTCACTATGAGAAGAAAGCATATAGGAGTTAGGGTGAAGGATAGACACAGTGAAACCATGTCAGATAGTAGAATACAACCAACTGCTACTGCCATTGGCACATGTTACATGGGTGAGTCTCCTCACATCTGTGTTTGGGTACGTTGTCACTGTTCTCAGCTGCAGAAGACAGTCTTAGAGAGGTGACCGGACTGGTGTGAGTTAGCTCAGCATTTCCAAACACAGCTGTCAGTAGGACTGACGTGTTGAGATACCCAAACTCTCTGCCATCTGAAAGGAGCTAGGTGGAATGAGTTCAGACAGTAGAGATTCAGGAATAGTAGAAGTCAGTGGGGAAGACAGATAGGATAGAACAGGCTCATAGGTTTACCTGTGAAGCAGGGATTCATTTATGGATGAGGGAAAAGGAATAAGAGTAATAAATAAAAAAAAGCATTTAAGAGTAGCAAAGCATCTAACCTTGCTGACAGGTGTAAGTAAACACTAAAACCTGTGTTATAGGTTTTTTTGAAAGTTATTTTTAATACAGAGGTGTGAGACAGGCCACCTGAATCAGTTGCATTGCCAGGTAAGAGTAGCAGGCTGCCCAAGGCAATGATCGGCACCAGTCAGGCTTCAAGCTCAAGCAGCTACATCTTAAAACCACTGCTGTGTTATGTAGTCTTATTCACTTGGGAGTTTCCATGCTGAGCTGCTCTTTTGAAATACATGTGTGACTGAAGCTGACAATTTTGCCTCATCCTGTTCCTTATCCCACTCACGTCTGGTGTTCTCTGGCTGCCCTTGGAGCCCAAGGATTTGGGGCATAGATTAAATCAGTCTGAGAACCTCTGTTAGCAAAACTTTTGTCTTAGTAGGAAAAGAAACTGTTTGTAGTAAAGACATTGTCATGTGATGGCTGTGGTGTTGCTGTAAAATGACAGAAATTAAACATTTTAATGGAAAGCCTCTGTAAATGGGGTCATTCAAGCCAGGCATTTAATTAGTGGGCAACATAGTTTGGCTTTGTTCTTTCATACTAAGAGCATGCTTGAGTCTTTCTGAGGTGTCAGGTTTCCACAGGCAGATATTTGTATATATTTGTCATGTCACTTTAAAGTATTGTCATTCTTCAGACCCAGTTATTAATGACAGTTTTTTCAATCTAAATTTTCTGAGTTAATAGTTTATTAGAAAATTATGAAAAGAGAAGCCAGGGAGAGGCTCTGATGGCACCTCTTTCAGCCTTCAGACTCTAGTTCCTTAACATATATTTCTGAGGCAGTGACATGTGATGTGAAAAGACAATGCACTGTGGTGGCAGTGCTGCTTTTGTAAAATAAAACCAGTGCTTTTGTACTTGCAGGGGAACCTTTATTGTAAAAATTCTGCATGTGCACTCTCACAGAAGAGGTAAGTTAGAGGCAAAATAGGACCCATCTTCCTCTTGCAACATTGAACCACAAATAATCTGCTAAGCACTAGATACTGTCATGCAGGATGTTTTTCTCCCAGCTTGATGATCAAGTTAATTTCCATTAGTCATCTGAGTCTAAGTACCGAACATGGAATGCGTTTTTCCTAAACGAGACATACTCTTTGGAACAGAAACTAGAGCTACAAATTTTATGAGCGCTGAAATATCCATGGCAGTATTTCAGTTTTCCTCTCTTGCTGAAATTCTAGTACTGGAGCTAAGAATACTGTTCAGATGCATAATACAGTCAAGTCAGTAGATGAAGACTTTTCAGGACCTTAATCTAAAAGATATGTCATAATTTTGTTCTTTATTATGTGCTGTATTGCCAGTATGTTGCAGTGGCATTTGACATCACTATGAATCCTGCAATACACATCGCTATCTGGATTTCTAATTATTTGTTTATTTTTCCCTCTGCAGTTCAGATGGAGAAAATGGAACAGATGAAAAGAGAAAGGCAGGAAAATTGCCTACTGTGTTGCTGCAGACCCCCACCAGTGAAATGGAGTATTTTGATGATCGGAAAAAAGTTGATGTTGCTAGGTAATGTCAGAAATACTGTCACTTTTCCTCTGGTCAAATTATTAGAACGGTTACAACCCATTAAAAAAGCTAGACTGACTAGCAATATTTATCAGACATCCTACTTGTGGGTTAGGTTGCACACTGTGCAAATAAACAGGAGTCAGCCCCACTTTCCAGGGTTGCTCTGTTACTCAATACAAGCAGTCAGAATAGTGGGAATTTAATCTTTGAGCTGGCTTATTTTCCCTGTTCTAGGAAAAAATACATTGCACTGTTTGTTGCCATTGCTAGTTACATCCCTTTCACAATCAATTTGACAGGCAGTCAAACTGAGCTGCAGTTTGAGTCCTGGCCTGTTTCCAGAACACTTTCATGCTGGAATATTGATTGTCCATGGTAAAACTATGACATAAGTTTTCATTTTAGATTCTCAGTTCTATATTGCAATAGATTATTGTAATGTCTCCACAGAAACAGTCATTATTACTTTGTTGGAGAACTGGAATGCATTTTAAACTCTTCTAAAAGAAAACTAAGTAATACTAAAATCCCGCTTGAATGGTTTGCACGCAGCTTTTGCATCCTTTTCACTTTGAAATTCACTGAGCAGTGAATTCAAAAGTCAGTGGTCAACCTGACACTGTGGATTTGATCACAAGGCAAATATTTAAAAGACATCACTTAATTTCATGAAGCATCTTTGAGGAAAAGGTATTTGAAGGAATATGTCATTACTTTTTTTTCCCCCGAGTCTTTCTAGTGTTACCTCTCATAATGTAATTGATTGTGTTTGGTAGGGGTAGGCATGAGTTTTTTGTAACTTGTGCTTTAGATAAGCACAGAAATACATGTGCACATGTATTTCAGTGTTTTCTTCTCTGAGGAACCACCTGAGATAATGCAGCCACTTCCCCTCTTATCTAAGTCAGTCCTACTATACAATCTCTTTCCAGCTGCGTCTCCATTATACTTAGGGTTTCTGTTCCTCTCAGCCTTAGAGATTTTATTGTTATTTCTGAACCTCTCAAGTTTAGGCAAGTAAAGAAGACTTGTTATGCAGGATATGGTGCAGTAATAGAAACTTCTCACAGAATCACAGAATGTGCTGATTTGGAAGGGACCCACAAGGATCACTGAATCCGACTTCTGGCCCTTCACAGAACCATTCCCAAGAATCACACCATGTGCCAGAGAGCACTGTCCAAACACTTCTTGAATGCTGTCAGGCTTGGTGCTCTGACTACTTCCCTGGGGAGCCTGTTCCAGTGCCCAACCTGGGTGAAGAATCTTTTTCTAATATCCAAGCTAAACTTCCCCTGACACAACTTAGGCCATTCTCTCAAGTCCTATCACTGCTCACGACAGAGAAGAGATCAGTGCCTGCCCATCCTCTTCCCCTTACAAGACTGAAGTGAGGTTTCCCCTCAGTCTCCTCCAGACTGAACAAACCAAGTGATCTCAGCCACTTCTCATACGGCTTTCCCTCAAGGCCCTTCACAATCTTCGTTGTTCTCATTTGGACACTCTCTAATAGCTTAATATCTTTCTTATGCTGTGGTGCCCAAAACTGCCACAATATTCAAGGTGAGGCTGCCCCAGTGCAGAGCAGAGCAGGACAATCCTCTCCTTTGACTGGCTGGTGATGCTTTGCCTGATGCCCCCCCAGGACACGGTTGGCCCTCCTGGCTGCCAGGGCACTGCTGACTCAGATTCAACTTGCCATCAGCCAGGACCCCCACATCCCTTTCCATGGCACTGCTTTCCAACATGTCATTCCCCAGTCTTTCTGTACACCCAGTGTTGCCCCACCTCAGGTGCAGAATCTGACACTTTCCCTTGTTGACCTTCATACAGGTGGTGATGGCCCAGTCCTCTGATTTGTCGAGGTCTCTCTGCAGGGCCTCCCTGCCTTCGAGGGAGTCAACAGCTCCTCCCAGTTTTGTCTCATCTGCAAACTGCTTAGTATCCCTTCCAGTCCTGCATCCAAGTCATTTATGAAGCTGTTGAATAGCACAGGGCCCAAGATGGGGCCCTGTGGAACCCCACCAATGACAGGTCACCAGTCTGTTCACTGTTACCCTCTGTGCTTGAACCGTGAGCCAATTGCTCACCCCCCCACATGATGTGTGTATCCAGCTGTGTGCTGGGCATTTTGTCCAGAAGGATCCTGTGAGAGACAGTGTTGAAAGCTTTATGGAAATCCAAAAAGATTACATCAGCTGGCTTCCCTTGATCATCTACATGAGTTACCTTGTCATAAAAGGAAATCAGGTTTGATAAGCAGGAATTTCCTCTCTTGCAGCCGTGCTGGCTTTGACGAAAAACTGCGTTGTCTTTCAGGTGTTTTGCAACACCTCCCAGAATAATCTTCTCCGTAACTTTACGAGCACCTTTCTTTCCCCATTGTATCTTTAGCACAGCATGTTCTTCAGGTCATTCAGTATAAGAATCCTGTGATGTGTTTTTACTTCTGCTCTTCAATCTGTAACTGAAGGCATCTGAAAAAGAGCTACCTGATTTTTATAGTGTGTTGATATGCATTTGTTCTGTGCTAAATAGCTCTCAGAGGTAATGTTCTCTTCCTGATTTATGAAACAATTACTGAACCTCTCTGTTTTTCTGAACAGTCCAGGCCATTAACTCCTCCTTTACAAAACAGACAAAACTTATTTTCTCAGCCATCCACAGAGACTTTCCTCTGTACTTGTTCTTCTCTAGAGTTGTATGATGAGTTTTTTTGTTTTCCAGTATAAATACCTAGAGCTGTACAGGTACAGCTTCCTATACAACTGGCACTCAGAATTTCGTTTAATCTCCTCTAGGGTTGCTGGTTATCTTAATGATTTCATTACGCTACACAACACAGTTCATAGCCATCCTCTGACTTGTACATATGTGTTTCTTCTCTGTTGCACTTTCAAATGAGCTCACTTCCTGTGATACACATTCATAGCTTTCCGCACACTACCTTTCACTTTCAACTACTAAGTTTTATCTTACTTAATCGTGCATTAGTAAGGAATCTGCTTAGTATTAGTATTTCACATATTGCCAAGAAACAAATTAACGTGAAGCTAAACACTGTAATAGCTAATTCACTAAGTTGTAAATTGTCTTGAAATTTTTTTACTTTCTTACAAGTAAATAATTTAGAATATCTCTTCTAAATTAAAAGTCCACCTTCAGGGAGAACTGGCGTAATTTAAGAATAAGATATACTCCTCTTTATTTCTGTGTAATTCTTAATGAATTAGATAATAGTTATTTAAAGGATTAATATGTTTCATGGAAAAGTACATCCTGTTGGTAACATACGAAGACTAATGAACTGAGGCCAGGCTTATACCAGATGCTTTTTTTAATCTTCAGGACAAAGAGCAGCACAGATAGTCCAGTCCTGTCAATGGATATCAAGAGTGACTCCAAGATTGAAAGGAAAAAACGTGCCTCAAATCAGGTAGGGCAGAGAATTTACTTGTTTGTTTACATATGTTAAAAATAAACACATAACTACAATGAGAGGCCTTTTGTTTAGCAATATTATAGTTCATGGTTGTATAATGGTATAGGTTCCTTTTGCATCAGTGTGTTAAAGTTTGGGTAAAGCAGATTATAGAGTTAATAGCCACACAGAAAAAAAAATGAGGATTTATTGTAAAACAAGTGGGCAAAATGAGAAGGTATGGGGAGGCCAGGAAGTGGAGCAGGTCACTCGATTGTCAGACTGTCTAATAAAGTATGTGTCTTTTGGGTGTGGGGCTTTTTGTTTTTTAGCTGAAGGCAAATGCACACTTTCATAAGCTGTTTCTAGATGTTCCCATTGATGAGCCACTGAAACAAAGTAAGTATTAATCCCTGTGTCATTGTTGGCTGTGGATCCTAGATAATGTAGTTACCCAACAACTGTGGTGCTGTACAAGAGGAACTACCTACATTTTAAAAACCTTTAACTCCAGCTGCCTAGAGCTTCAGGGCCTTCATCTACATGCAATGGCCTTTTTGATGTAATCTTGCAGATCTTAAATCTTTGCGTTTTGGGCTTGTTTGGGAATAGTAGCCCACTTTGCAATACTTAGCAGAGTAGCCTAGTACAGTATTTTTTGATACTGAATCTTCCTTACTAAAGGCACTACTGAGACAGCACTGGTCAAGTGATTATCTTGAGTTTTTGCTGTTGATGATGCTTTGATACTTAAAAACACTAATACAGAAAGGACATCAAATGTTTAAATATTGTGCTGTTGCCCGTGGTACTTACAAGGGAATTCTACATAGACGTTTATAACAAATGTTTCTTAAAAGTAATACAAGGAAGGCAGTTCATGAGTGAGAAGTGGTTTGCTCATGTCTACTGCAGTAAAAGCAGTATTACTTTATGTGGATTCTGCCTCTGGTCATCTAGTTTAGACAACTGCTATAGAGCTAGAAGTTTAAAGCTAAAACTTTCGTTAAACCCTTTACATTTAAGTAATATAGTTACCTAAAAGCTAGTCAAAAAGTTTATAGGAAGCTAGGTGGTAGTCTCTTAGAAAGGATTTTTGACTTGTAGAGACCAGTTGCATGTTACTATTCATTTCAGTCATTGTTCTTCAAATATTTTGAGCCTAAACTTAGGCCTGTGACATCTTCTCAGCTTGTCAGTGTCAGTTAAGCATTGAAAGTTTCAAAGTTTGACAATGTTTATCAAAGGTATAAATCTAAATATATTATGGCTTTGAAAAAAGAACAAAACAAAACCTGAATTGGCTTGTCTTGGGTTGTGATTACCTTGAAGATTATAGAGTATTTATTTGTTTCAGGCTTTACCTGTGCTCTGCAGAAAGAAATTCTGTACCAAGGAAAGTTATTCCTTTCTGAAAACTGGATTTGCTTCCATTCCAAAGTTTTTGGTAAAGACACTAAGGTTAGTAAAATCTTTATGTATGGAACAGTAATGCTATTCTTAACAATTTGTTCATCACCAGAAGTTCAAATTATTATGCAAGACTAGAATACTAATATTTCTAAGTTTTTTAAATACAGTCACTATTTAGAAGTGATGCCCAAAATTCACTCTAGAACTGGAGCTCTATTATCTTTATTAGAGATTGAGTCTCTTGCTTAAGGACTTTCTGTCTGAAAAAAAGCCTGATGAAAGGAGAGGATCTGACAAGCAGCAGTGAGGGTGTTGTGAAACCTGTGTAGCACAAACTGCAAAAATGTCTCTCTTGGGGTAAGTATGTAAAAGAGGAGGAGGGGGAATAATGAAGGCTGAAAAGTATTAAGGACTCCAAGACTATAGATGGGGAACTGGGGAGAAGAATCAACATATTTTAAGGCAGTTAAAGAGGAAGAACTAAAACTGGCTTCTGACTTGAGTGGCAAAGCTCTTTAAAGCATTCTTCTATCACTCCCATTCTGCATAAATAGAGAACAGGGAAAGAAAAACAAGTTTGCAAGGTTTTTACCTGTGAGCCTAGTATGCAGAGCAGAAATGAGATGTGAACAGTTGGGAAGATCAAAATTTAGTCTTTGTGACCCACCTAAGGTTCGGTCCCACTGTGGTAATGATGTGCATATAGATAAAAATAAAGAACACAGATCTTTGCAAAAAGATCTGTGTTCTGGCTCTGTTGATTTGGAGCTTTTGGAGTGATTTTGTTTACATAAGCTGCTTTTTTTTGGCTTTTATTGGAAAACAGCTCAGTTCACTTGAAGGATTTCTTTGGCTTCTTTCTTTCAGGTGCATCTCTGAACAAAGTTCCTGGTTAAATCCAGTGAACTGGATGCTGAAGTCAGTTTAAGGGTTGAGATTACCTTATTTCTCTGCTGTCAACCATTTTGATAGAATACATCTGTCTTTGAAAGGGCTTTAAAAAGATAGAATAGTTTTAAAGAACACTTAAAATTATTAACGGCACATTGTCCATTAAAATTGAAGCTGTTTTACTAGCAGCCTTCTATTCAGCATGAACAAATGTGACTAATTCCAACTGTGGAATAGCTTTCTAAATTCAGGCTAAACTAAATGTTTACAAAATATGGTAGAACTGTACTGAAAAATAGAAAAACCCAGAAAAAAAGAGGCAGAATAACAGTGATGTAGTACTAGGAAATTATCTTTGTCAACAGGGTTTCAAATGCAGGAATATATACATAAATATATATATATGATGAAAAGTGAAATCATTTCACAAGATAAGATAGAACAGACAGTATTGTAAATGTGACTGTAGTAAGATTCCAGAATATTCAATTCTGGGTCTTGTTTTCAGAAAACAGTGTGGGGAAAATTAAGAGTGAAGGGGATAGTCCTTATTGTTTACTTAGAGCTTTGTCCAGTTTTTAGGAATACCATCGACAAAAAAACAGGAAAATCATTAATACAATGAAAATTAATGTAGTGGGAGAGAGAGGAGGAAATAAAGCTTGACAGGAAGAAGAACATTCTTAGCAGTCAGATACACTGACAAAGTCTCCAAGATGCAAAGCCTCTATTGCTTAGAACTTGTAAAACAATTTAAGCCTCATGATAAAATGTTTGTGAGAAATAGCAGATCTACATGTTCTAATAAAACTTTTTACATGAATTCTACCTGCAGAATTTTTTTTATTGAAAGCTTTGGTGCAGGGAACAACTATGCAAATCAGGAATTTTGAATACACAGTGAAGACAATTGTGCGTATTCAAAAATAAGAGATTGCTTCAGCAGGATTGAATAGGCTTTAACAGACATCACTTTCTTTCTGGGTAGCTCTTATTTGGCTATATGTTGGCCTTGAGCCTTTTTTGAATTTAAATATTATCTTACATTTTTAAACTGTTTTCCAAGTTGCCTGCAGGTTAACCTTGTATTCTGAAATAATTATTACTTGAGATGTGAATAAAGTAGCGATAAAGCAGTGTTTTTACCCTTTTAGTCTAATACATTAAGCAATAAGTAAATGCTTAATCCCACTGAAGTACACTTTAGTCCTGATTACAGTGATGTTATCCATCAAATAGCGTGCAGTATCATCTCTGATTCAAAGCTCTTGGAGGTAAATTGTGAACTGACATAGAAAACTTGTAAGCTGGGGTTTTTGTAGCTTGTAGCAGGATTTCTGTTCAAACAGTACTTGGCAGTCTCGTAACCAGCCTATTAATACAATAATATATTTTTTGTTACCTGGAACAATTTTTCATTTCATGATTTTGTGTTACTGTTCTGAACAAAAGTTAACAAGAAGCTGTGCACAGAGTAACTTCATTCTCCTCTAGTAACATCTTTTTAATTCAGTTCTGTGATTGCTCTTTGAACAATCTACAGACACTTTAAACCTTGTTTCCAAGTTTCTCAGGTAGTTTTGACAGTCTGTGCCAAAGGAATTTTTAACAGGATCTGTACCTTAATCATGTATATCCAGGATTATTATATTTGCCTAACTCTCTAAGTCTCTAAGCTTTTCAACTGAGCATCAAACCAGATATTTGTTCCTTTGCAACATGAGCTTTACAAGAAAAGCCCATGCAGAATATCTAAAGTGAAATCCTCTGAAACATTGCAGATGTTAATTAAGCTAATGGGGTTGGATGTAAACACAAAGCAGGAGTGAAGATTGAGAACTTTGCAATGTAAATGTAGTCAAGCCTGGTTGGCACACACAGGAATCAGTTTAAGTCAGAGAGTGTGTGGATATTGGATCTTTCAATATTGCTGAAGGACAAGCTGTTTACTCACCTGCTTGTTGCAGATCTGCGACTGGTGAGAAGACTTTTGTGTTCACTCTTCAACAAGCTTCTTTTGTCTGATGTGTTCTGAAATGTTTGGTTTCTAAACAAAGAAGCCTAACTCTAAGACTGGTTTGTTCTGCAGGTCTACAGTGAACTAAACCTATAGTCTTGTGAGACCCAGAAGGGATTGGGAAAGGAAGGCACAAGCAGAAACCTGGATTAGCATTTCATAATAGCAGAAGTAGTTAAGAAATAGTAATAATCTGGAACCATACCTATTCCATATGAAATAATAGTAATCAGGGATGTAGTGGAGAAATCTCTAAGAGGGTCTGGCTTATCACAGTTGGTAGGCTGCCCCTTGTGAAAGATTGTACTGCAGATTTGTGTGCACATGTTGGGATTCGAACACTGTTTTGATCTTGTTTCAGATTAGTATACCTGTGCTGTCAGTGACGCTGCTGAAGAAAACCAAAACTGCCCTTCTTGTGCCAAATGCCCTGATCATAGCGACAGTCACAGATAGGGTAAGTACTGGTAGAGGGCAATGGTATTGCACCCTACCCACTTTCTTTTTTTTCTACTTTTTCTTTCTCCTTACTTACCAGCAGTAATATGAAGGCATCTGCAAAGTACCAAGTGGCCAGTTAAACAGCTATGGGAATTGGTCACATGTGGGCATTTAGAGTCAGAACCCTGAGGGATCTGGTTTGTTTGGGAATGATTCTAACTTCTTCTGCCTCCTCTCTTTTGACAGGCAAGGACAACTTTTTTCCTGTTACTAATTTTCTGTCTTTTTTTCTTTGGATCTGCAGTAAACAAAGCTATGTAGAACTTGGTGAGAAAATAAAAAAAAGAACCATGGAATCTCTGTTTGCCACCTATTCTCTGTAATCTTTCATTCCCTGTTTTCCAAGATTGCTGTCATAGCATAGAGGGAACTGAAACAGCTGGGTCAGGAAGTGCATGCACAAAAGGTTACCTGCCTTGGCAGATCTGACAGTCTTCTTTCATTTACTTGTATCTCTTACCTAACCAGCCATACCTTAGACACACAAAAACTAGTTGCTTACAGTGATATTCAGGAATAATAATTGCATCAGTCAGTAGGAAGTGTGATTAGCCTAAGAGCAGCTTCAGAACCAACATACTTTCGTTGCACAAATATTTTGTGGGTACGGGAGACTGTACACTAAAAGCAAGTTTTGGATTTGGGATTTTGTTTGTTTGGGGTTTTTTAAGGGGTAGGTAAAACATAGCATGGAAAGTGTTTTTGAAAGAAAGAACAGATCTGGATTATGCTCTGGCTCCTGCAGCAGAACATGGTAACTTTTATGTCCCTGTTGTGATTAACCTCAAGTCATAAATTTAGAAGTAGTGCAGGTTTTTCCTGCTGTACTAAAGTTCTTGAAAGTAGGTACTTGATTTGCAAAACCACTTGTCAGTTTTATTTAAATAAAAGGAAGCTTGTAGTGTGTACCTTTTCTCAAACAATTGTTGAACTTTTGTTTTTCAGTACATGTTTGTCTCCTTACTCTCCAGAGATACCACCTACAAGCTGTTAAAATCTATCTGTAGACATCTTGAGGTAAGTACTAGTGGGAGTGAGGAAGTACTAATGGGTGTGTAGCTTTGTGTTCTTTATTACTCCCTTTCTGCTGTTAAGTACCAGGTAGTTTCCCAGTGTTTTCCTGTTAACACTGCTGCTTTTTTTCAGGATACAAGCGTAGGCAACAGTCCAAATCCCTCTTCTGCAGAAAACAGCTTCAGGGTTGATCGTCCTACAACCCTCCCCCTGGTAAATGGTTTAGAAGTTTGTTCTTTTATTGCATGGCATCTTTGATTGCAAGTACTATTTATAATCTCTTATGAAAGGAAACTGATGGAAATCATGACATCTGCTTCTCAAACTCCATGATTTTTTAACATTAGAAAACACTTGGAGCAGTTAGCATAGGTGTCGTTTGAGCTGATCACATGCAGTATATATACATGCATGTGCTTTGGATTTATCCCAAGGTTTGTATGTTCTTCATATCTCTGTTTTGCAATCAGATTTCACTGTACTCAAAGTTACTTCATCATCTGCCATGAATAGTTTCTAAAGTGTTTCTAGAAGCACTCCTTCCTCTGTAAGCTTGTTCAGACATATGAAAGAGCTGTGTAGACTCATGTGATGACCAGAATCTAAGTCTAGTAATGCCCATCCTGGACTCTCCAGTTTGTATAACTTAGCAGTCTGACTTTTATACACAGACTTAATTTCTTTACTTAAACAAAGGCAGGGGATGAGGCTTGAATTCTGGTGATCTTATGGATCTTATTTTTCTAACTTGATGTCAGCATCTTGATATCAGAGATTATTCCTGGTTAAACAGTTTTAAAGCTTTAGTTTTTGGTTCTAATTGCAGAGTGAGGTTGAAGGAAATTAGATTGCTTAGATTTAGAACAGGACTGAGCCTTTTTGTGATGTTTTTCTCCCGATCAGGATTTCAATGAAGATTATTCTGATCTGGATGGAATAGTTCAGCAGCGAAGACAAGAGATGGAAGAGTCCAGCAGCACAGGCTCACAGACACCAGAGCTGGAATGCTTCCAAGGTGAGTGGGATCATGGAGCCCCAAGAAAATGAGTATGGCTTAGCTCTCAGTTATGCTCCTGTAATCCCCTTCTGATATGGAATCTACATTCTCCACAGTCCTGGAGAATTATGTGATTTTTGAGGTCTTCCTCAAGTCCCCAATACCTGCATTTTTGTTATTTCGTTACCCTTTGCAATCCACATTCAGGCAGTGACTTGGTCATCAGCAGATCTCAATTGTCATTACTGCTTCCAGTTGCTTAGGCATACTAGGACAGATACAATGTAGGAGCTGTTCCTGCTTTGAAACACAGAAGAAAAATACTTAACACTGGTGCTTGCAATCTGCTGTTGTCTCAAGTTGTTCAACTAATTAGCAGTAATGCTGTGTAGAAACTCACTACATATAAGTTAAATGAGTACAGCAGTACTTGTTTTATGTAGCCCATGCTGAATGTTACTTCATGAGTTGCCATCTTTCAAAGGATCTGGAAATATATAGGCAACATACATTTTCCCTTTTCAATCCAGGTGCTTGTTTTTATTTTGTGTTGATGCAGAATTCATATGTAAACTATTTCAAGGATACAAAAAACTGCTTTGTACCCAATGACAGAAATGCACCTTTTAAAATCATCCTCTTCCCCTGCTGCTTGACTAACTTAAACTACCAGCAATTTCCCTTGACTTCATATTTCAACTTTATTAAAAATCTTACTTTTGACAGATTATCATGTCATGGAAACAGAGACTCACTTGAAAGTTTCCAAGACTGAGACCAAGTCTGTTCGTTCAGATGCACATAATAAACGTGGACCTGATGGAAAAGCCCGAAACAGTCCTCGAAATGGTACGGAATCAAGGGCAGACTCCATCAGCTGGAGTTACTTGAGATAAATTTGCATAGTTATGACAGTTCACGTAATTTGGAAGATCTCTGTCTTGGTTTTCCCTCTGTTTGTATTAGCTGTTAGCTAATTAGCATGTATTAGCATGCTTCAAAACGCTGTTTGTATGCTGTGGTCTGCTCCAATCAAAGTAACATTTGGTTCTTTTCCTTGCAGGCCATTCTGAAGCCTTCAGGTTCTTCCACAAAGTGAAGTCCCAGAAGCTCTTATCTCTGAACCATGTGCTTGTGTTTTACGCAGTTGTGTAAGTTAGCAATTAATACCAAGATTGTCCAAATATTAGGATTTTCTTACATTTACAGAATTGATATAATCTAAGCTTCACTGGAAAAAGGAAAATTATTGGGAATTGTGGCCTTTATACTTTTCAGAAGTATATATATATATATATATATATATATATATATATATAAGCCTGCTAGGACTGGCCTTTTATGTGCAAGGGGTCTTTTGATTCAGGAAATGTTTACAGTATTTAAGTACTTGCAAATTCATTTTTTATGTCACTTAAAACACCATACTCAAGGCTGAGACTTTCATGACTGTCTGAATGCCAGTGATTGTGTTCCCAAAGTGTTTCTAAGAATGATACCTTTATTATTGAACATGTACATGTAACAATTTAAGTGGCTTTTAACATTAAATTTGTCGAGTACTACTAAAGTTTCCTTAGCTGATGTACTTTATTCTTCTCTCTTGCAGTGTTTGTATATTAATATTTTCTACCTTCTACATGAGATATAAAATCAGTGTCCTGGAGGAACGTCTTATGTCCATCACATCCTTTGATTCACATATTAAGGAGTAAGATACAGTCTTTAAAACACTCACTCTGGGGGTTTAAAGTCTTTTTAAGTCTCTCTCGTGTTCATCTATTTTCTTCAAAAACCACTGTAATATTGTAGTGCCCATGTGATCCTTTAGTGTTCTGTAGTTCTTTCATCTAGCCTAATCTCATCTTTTTGTTTCAGACTATTAGTACAAATGTGATATATCGTGGTGTACTGCTGTCTTGAGAATATTTCAGATAGCTGTGGGTAACTTCACTGTAAACTGCTGAAGTGAGCAGCTCCTTTCCAGAGCAGTAATCCTTGAGAATGGTGTAACTTTTGTCTTCAGTCTTGATGTCATTTGATTAGTCTAAAATAATAGAACATACTGCATAATCTTTGGACCAGTACATCTGTCTCGCTTGTGTACCATTTTCTAAAGCTTTGGGCTGCCTATATTCTCTTTAGAAACTGATATCCTATCTTGTTAAAGTAAAAAAACCTACACCAGAAAACCAAACCAAACCAAAATTCAGACACACCAAGGGACAACAGTTCTTTGTGTATTTGAAGGGGAAATAGGGAAAGGAAGCAGCGTTCCATGAATAGTTCCTTCCTGTAGCTAATCCTGGCTATCATCTTCCCCTGTGGTTAGTTTGTTTGTTTGTTTTGTTGTTGTTTTGTCTCCATGTTTCATAGATAGAAAATATGCAAACATTAAATGGAGAGGCAATACAGGGGCATGTGTTTTCCACAGCAGTTTGCCACCAGAACTTGTGTCGGCTTCTTGCACCTGTCATAGGACAGAAGGCAGTTAACTGGATACTGCTGAAAATACTAATCAGTCTATTGAACTTTGCATTAGCTCTTCTCCCCTTCGTTTAATAGATTTTTTCCTGAGCTACTCTGAAAAACATGGCTTCAAAAGTCATTTGTAAAGTCACTGCAAAACCTGTAGCCACATGCAGCATGAATGGGAATGCTGACAGCTGGAGAAGCACCTTATGAAAAAAGAGAGGGAAAATAAAATTCAAGACAGAGCTGACTCAGGCATCGTGGAACTGTCTGCAAAGTGTTTCAAACCTATACCAAGCTCCTAAATAAGTGTGCTTTTTAATTCAACTTTCTTTGATGACCCATCCATGAAAAAGCATGTCACTCCGACATTACACTTTCGGTCATATAGAACAATGACTGGCCTGCTCATGATCCAACTGCTTTCAGCTGTCATCTGTGGAAAGCTGTAGGACTTGAGTGCGTGTGTGAGAAGAGAGAACTAAGTTCTTCATAAAAAAGGGATAGGAAGGAAACGGTTCTCTATCTTAAAGGGGTTTGTATTCATACATTACGAGCAATGCAAGGGGCGGGGTAAACCTGCCTCACATAGTAGGTGACATCAAAAGCCTTCTTCTCACTTCTGGCATATTTTTATTAACAGAATGCTGTGTCGCTCTTCAGAAACTCAAGACAGTCCTGTTTCTGGTGTTCTAATCCCAAAGGGTAAAAGATACAGGAAGGAAGATCTAATGTGCACTTCTACATTCTCAAGGGGATGGGCTTTTCAGTGGAAATAGCAGTAAAGTTTTACATCAAAACTTCTGGAGAATGAGACCACATAAAGAAGTGACTTAGTACTTTGTTTGTATTAATAAGTACAGTTCACAGTGTTGGCACTGTGTTGCCTTCTGTAGGTGAATCCCAGTTCTGTTTTCCTCTTTTTTTTTGTCTGTCACACTTACTTTTTCATTCCCTTTGACAGAAATCCAGTGCACCAAGGTTTGGGATCTCATCTGCAAATTAATGCTGATGCCCTTTGTGATGAGTTAACTGCCAATCTTGTGAAATTGGAAAAGGTAACATCCTATGATATAATCAAATGCTGATAGACTAATCAGGTTCTTGCTATGTTTCTGTGATCTGTTATTTTGAAAAGTGTCAAGTTACCTCCAGATTTGATACCAAAAGCTGACACATTTTCTTAGACAAAGGACTGGTTTTTGAACTACAAATTAACCCAAGTATAATATTGGTATGTGTAGAAATTTTGCCTTGACCCGATGCTTATAACTAGGAATACTGTCCCTGAAGTGGACACTTCAGGAGTGATTATTACATGTGGTGATCTCAGTTCTTCTTTTAATATATCAGGGCTAAGGATTTTGAACTTAACTTTTGTGGCTGTTTGATGAATTTTCCTGTTTGGGGCTTTTTTTTTGAGTTTTGTGTTTTTTGATTAAGAAAAACAATGCTGACTTTCATATAACTGCAAAACTAAATGAATTTGGTGACTTAAATTGAAAACTATACATAACAAGAGGGTGTGCACACCTTATTTCCACTTCAGGTGTTGTGGTGTGCTAACTTTGGCCAGCAATCAGATGCCCACCCAGCCACTCTCTTACCCCCCTTTCTTAGTGGGGCAGGGGGAGAAAATAGGAGGAGAAAGCTCGTGGGTCAAAATAAGGGCAGAGAGACTGCTTACAACTTACCATTGCAGTCAAAACATACTCGACTCCGGGGAAATCTGTTTAAAATAGTACTAAGTTAAAATAGATTTGAGTATTGATAAACAAGGACAACCAATAGAACACCTATCCTCTCCCTTGTGCCAGGCTTAACTTGACTCCTTTGCTGCTGACTCCTAACCCTCATGGGGCTAGTGGGGGGATTACATTCAGTGCATAACTATTTTCCTTCTTCTTCTCTTTTCTTCACCTATTTTCCCCCTGCTACAGTGTGAGCTCCTCCAAGAGCCCCAGTTCTCAGGAAATGCATGCTTTGGCATGGATTCTCCATGGGCTGCGGTGTGGACATCTCTGCCATGAAGTACCTCCTCCCCCACCTCCTTCTCAGAGTTTGGGGTTTCTTTTGCTGTTTCCCATCCTCTTACTCTCCTTCTGTCTTTGTGTGGTGTTTTTTCACCTTTCTAAAATACTTTACCAGATGCTCCACCACCATCATGGCTGGGTTGATGCAGTGGGTCCATCAGAGGCTGCTGAAATGTCTGTGTCTAGCATGGGGCAGCCCCTGATTCTTTCCCACAGCTGCTGCCCCTGCAGAGCTCGTCCCACCCTGCCCCCAAACGCTGATAAATGCATCCAGTACAGGTATATGAAATGTTGCGTGTTGGGAACACATACAAAGGCCAAGAATGACAAAAGTACTGATGGAACAAAACCAAAAGTTACTTGAATTCCTATGTGCTTAAGTCACGTGGGATATTTTTGCCTCTGTTTCTAAAACTGAGTCTGTGCCAAGGTCTTTCAACACATTTTTTCCCCAAACCAAGTTTCTCAAATAGCATAAAGCTAAGATTATATAATATCACCTCTGTGGCACAGATTTTAGAAATACTGCCAAAAAGGAGTTTCTTCCCCACATCTTCAGCCCCTCGTCAGTGGAAATCTAGAGTAATGCTATCATTACCCCTCTCTGTGCTCTGCATAATAACAGTGTGAGTACAAGGGGAAAATGCTTTCCAGATGGTTACCAGATAGAATCTTTGGCCAAATTAGGTCATTTAAGAGGTTACTGCTTTCTAGCTGTCTGGGACAGGCTGGCAAGATGGTTCATGGGAGGCCTTATTTCAGTGGGAAGCCAGCCAGCCAGCCCTTTGCAGCAGGGCTAGGCACTTTCCCATTCCCTTATATAGTCTCTGCTTGGAGACACAGTAATAGGCAGCTGGATTGTTGGATCATTCAGCTGTTCCCAGAGAAGTGACCCCCCTTAAGTCGTGTGGTTTTTTCATTTGGTGTCTACAGGATTGGACCCTCAAAAACTTACTTGACAGCTGTTCAAGACAGTGAAGTGTTCTGCATACAAGATAAATCAGTATTGCCCATAGGTGCATAATGCCACATGCTGGTTCTCTCTAATCTAGATAAGCAGTGGTTAAAACAGAATGTTTGACCCTACTCTTTGTACTGCAAAAGTGGTAGAAATCTGATAGCTTTTGGTTCTCTGAGCAAAGTTACTACAGTTGCTTAACAGTTTCATATGCTTTAGTGAATAGTGGTGCAGCAGCAGAGGTGGTGTAAAAAGTTCCAGTGTAACTTGTCTCTCCACTTGCTTCCTCTGTGAGCGCAGCACTGTAAACTGGAGCACAGAGATTATCTAGATTGAAAACTAAAAACTACTTTGCAGTTAAAAGATGTTCAGTGCAAGAGTATGTTGCAATGACTTTTTCAGTGTGACCTTGTGATTTTTACAAGCTCTCATTTATGCCTGGAGCCAAGGAACTATCATGGCTTACCAAAATTCTGCTAATTTGGCATTTAATTTTATTTAACAGGTTGTTGAAATGCACCATGTGTATCAGAGGATAAAGCATTAAATGGGGGAGGGAAAATGTGTCTTAATATTACTCATTCCCTTATGCTAACTTATCTTGTTAAAAGGAAATTCATGTTTGTGTTGTAACTCTTAAAAAATTAGATACTTCTTACTGCTTCCCTTTCCCCAGAATACCACTCTTGAAAACGGTATGCATCTGGGATAGAAATCATGAAGTAGGATTAAAAAGTGGTATCCTTGAACAGGAAGTAAAATGGCTTCTCAGATAAAAGCCTGAAAGTAGCTGGGACTAAACCTTCTGTAACCAGTGACTGTGAGTTACTAAGATACTGACATATCAAGTACTTGTGTGCCAGGGGATGTGACCCACTATATTCCCCCCTCTCTGCTTTTAAGGACAAGGAGATGAAAAGTGGAAAAATAGGCTGTGTAAAAATAGGTCTGTACAAATTATCCTCGAGGATGCCACTGGCTGGCATTGCCTTCAGTGTAGCTAAGAGAGGATGACCCACAATCAGTGGACTAAACCTGGCAAATGGGACACATCTCCTAATGGTTAAAAGACCTTATTTTGCAGTGCACACATCATAGAGGAAGCTGTTACAAAAACTGTTTGAATTATCCACTTAAACCATAGAGCTGTGACGTGGAAGAGGCCTTTATCAGATTTTGATTAAGCTCAAAATAATTGGGTTTCTTGTCCCATTGCTTCAAGCTGGAATTTTATTTCTATCTTATTTTCTCATACCTAATGAAGGAGAGGATCTGTAGGAGAAAATTGCAGGAGATACTCATAATATAAAAGCTAGATATTGTGGTGGTCAGTCGTATCTAGGTGTTTCCTTTGATGCTAGTGCAGGAAACATTTAACAGGAATACCACTGGTATGAATAGGTGTGACAGAATTAACATTCACAGAGAGTATATTGAAAAGCATGTCTTGATTTTATTTTTTATTTCAAATGCAACATAACACTTCCTGTGTCTCCCCTGTTTCCTTCTTTTTCTAAGATACAGAACAACTTACAGAAACTTCTTGAAGATGGTGAATGAAACATCATTGTTCTTGGACTGCTTCAAACCTCATTCTTCCATCGTGACAAACAGTTCCAAAGGAGCTCTGCTGGCCAGAGTTCAAGCTTCTTTATTTTCAGTCCAAGCCAAGCTTAAACTACTGTAAAGCTCATGTCATAATGCAAAAAGTCAGTTTATTCTTGAACATATATCTATTTGTTTTGAAAACATACATGGTTTGATCTACATGTATCTATGTGTTTTAAAAATATGGGGATTTTTCTTTCTCTTTTGTGTGTGAATTAGTGGACTTTATAGCTTGCTTGATTCTAGACTTGCTTACACCGGTGCAAACCTGGTCCATATCCTTTTACCTCAACATTTGCTTTATGCCTGTTGTCATACAAATGTAAATGAGAAGAATTTCAGTCATGACTCATGTGCTGAAGTGCTGTGTGAATGAGCAGGTATCTGTTTTAGCTTTGGTTATGGAACGGTGCTGTGCTCTTCATTTTTACTTACTTCTTTGCACCCTGACATCCCAAAGATCAGAAAATAGATGCCTCTGCATTTGGGTATGCAAAGTGCTGAATGTTTGAGGCCTGCTCAGTTCTCAGGTGCTGTAAAAAGGCTCAATTTCACCTTCTGTGACATTGTATCACCACTGAGGGTAAGGTCTGTTTCTACTGAGCATTCAGTTTCTATGGATTTGCCAACTTACAATCTAGTTGTTTATGAATGGCAGAATGGGTGTGACACACCTGCACAATTTAGAAAAGCCACTTGGTTTTTTTTGTCCACTCATGTCATCTCTGTCCTTTATGTTAGTCGGTGTGAAGACCCTCAGTCAGCTTTCCTTGGAGTTGAATGGGGTTTTGGTTGGCTGAGCAAGTGCGATTTATACTCCACTTAGTGGAAATCTAGCCTTGGTATGTGACTCCAGGGACTGGATATTTCCACATAATAGGGACTGGCAAATTAATGGTGCAGCAATATAAACAATCAGTAGAGTGAATGATAAAGTGGACACCTGCTTTGTTTTATCACATACTATTTTTTTCAGAGTGCCTAAGATGGGGATTTTTAGCTTTCTGATTCACCAAGCAGGCTCATTAGTTTTTAAAAGCAATATTTAGGATAATAACAACTACTATCTGTAAAGTAACAGTATTGTTTGTAATATGCTATGCATTTTATAACCATTTCTGTGAAATGTACCTACTATGTTTAAATAAACTTTTTTAAAGCAAGCGACTTGACTGTAATTTGAAAGAACCCAATTCCATCCATCAGTTTTAGTCAAAGGTCATAATTATGAGGCTTATACCTTACAGTACAAAGTTTGTGCAAAACCCAGTACACAACAGAAAGGGTTGGGAACTGTATCCTGCTACTGTCCTTGCTCAGTTGTACATGAGATCTTCCCAGACTGCAATAAGAACACTACAAGCAAATTTGGCCCCCAGAGTTTTGAGGAAATTTTAATAACTTTCTCAAGGTCCTCAGGCTTCCTCCTTGAAGGATATGGGATGAGTATTGGCATGCTTAGGCAGCTTAGAGAGCCCTGTGTGCTCTAACATGGCTGCCTGGCACAAGATTCCACCAGAGCACAGTATGTAAGAAATCTATGATATTTGACTGTTCTCCCTATTGAAGCCTTTGCTTCCTCAACTATCATGGCTTTATTGGAAAATTCATTTTCACAAGAAAAGTGTTGAAATAAGTAGGTTTATTTTTTTCCTTCTTTTTCTATCCTTATCCCTGCTCTTTTCTACAGTTACATAGCTTATGTAATGTTTTGTACTCTGACCTCACTCTCTACCTTCTCTACTTCTCTCCCTTGAATTCTGTATCAGTAACAGAAGTCTGTAGCTCTGTTTATGGTTGAAAAATTGATGCCACGAGTCACCTTTATCAAAGGAACTATAAGAAAACTTGGTTATATCCAGCAGCTGAACTGAGTTAGCCAGTTACTCCATTACATTGGAAACTCTGTGCTTTGCTATAGGAGAACAAGGAGAGATATAATATTTGGCATGTGCCTATGCATATCAGGCAGGCTAACTCCTTATCATTAGCCATAAGTGAACAAAATAATTACTGGAGGGAATGAGTAATCAGAGGTGGAAGTGTGCCCTTTAGCCTGTTACTGCAGCGTGCCAGGGGAGGTGAGTCTGGACAAAGGTGTAATGGTGTCCTTCAAACAGAGGAAAACAAACTAAGCTCCAGAGAAAGAATTGTCTTGTGACTTGGAGGTCATGTGAGCTCACTGATGCAATTCAGTGTGGCCGCTTGATGTCCTCGGGAATGTCACCCTTTTCAGGTGTCAGTGTGCAGCTGGGCAGTGAGAAGTACTGAGGTACTTCAAACAGAGCGTGTGCAAGACCCTGCACGGACAAAGTTTGCAAGCAAGTGGAGTGATTTAAATCCTGTGATTCAGTCTTACACCTAGAGAGGAGGGGTTTTGCCCCAGTCGTGTTTGAGAGGAAAGTACAACGATGATAAGCAAGGAAAATCTGCTTCCTGTGAGGCTGGGAGTCTGTTAAAAGAGTAGGGGGACTTCTCCTACCATCTGTGGTGGTGCATACAAAGGCTACGAGGAGGGATTTTGCCTTTTGGCAAAAGTGCAAGTTTGCAGAAATAGGAAAGATGTGTGACTTCAGGGAAGTCAGAAATCCACACAAAATGCTTAGCGCACACACTCCTAACAATGAGCATTCATAATTTGCCACATAGGCTGCATAGAAATCTGCTTTAAAAAGCCAACTTTAAAAATTCTTCCATGTTTGTTTTTCCAATTTTATCTGTTTGTTGTCCTTCACAGCATAGAGGCTAGAAAAACAGCTGAGTTCCACCAGCCTTGAAGGACCTAATAAGAGTACCAGGTTCTGGGAAGATACTTTGAAATTGCAGATGAAAGGCAAGAGGGGCACATCACTAATGTTTTCTCTAGTTGTGGTTGGTGACCCAATATTTTTTTCTAAACAGTCTTAGCCCAACCTTCTTCAGTTCATAAGAATGCATCTTGTAAGGGAGAAGAGGCACAGTAAACACTGCTTGATTTTCCTTCTTAGAAAACAATTTTGGGGAAACTCCAAAGACACTTTGGTGCTTGTCAGCAGGAGCCATAGACAACACCTGACTTGCCAGCTAGTGGACTTTGAAAGGAACTCCTGGCCTGCCAAGAGTAATTTGAAGTGTTTTTCTCCACTTCACTGGTATGAACATATACCAAATTGCTGATAGTTGCAGGGTAGAGGGGAAGGGATGACAGAAGAGAACATGGAAGTATATTATAGGCATGACTTTTGATCTTTTGGAATTCCTCTTATCTTCAGGCTGCTGTAAATGGAAAGAGTCCTCCTTTCCATTTCTCCCCTCTTCCAGATTCGTGGTTGCCACTTTCTTGTGCATTTTTCACAGGTAGCAAAAAGGAGACAAAAAAAGTAATGTGCACTTGGAGAGGCTGCTTGGGTTGAGGGGTTGTTGAATTAGTTTTCTGCCAAATTGTGTGCCAGACATAGGATACTGTTGGTGTGAAGGATGCAGCTAGCACTCTAAGAAAGAAGTATTATAAAGCCCCCCTCTCAGCAGAACATGAAAGGCAGTAATTCCCATTAGCATTTGCAGGAAAGACAAACAGTTTTGTGTGTGGTTTTGTGTGGGCTTATTTAATACTATTAACTGCTTTCACATGAACCTTCAAACAGGTGTGTAGTAATGCTTTCTGCTTCCTGCTACGCCTGCACTTTCATTTCCATGTTTCCACCTAATAGTCAGCTGACAAATGCTAAATAAATCTCCGTGTTGGTGTTATCCAGGCCCTGGCAGGCTATTGCTCAGCTGGTTCAGCTGCAACTGCTAGTGAGGTGTCATTCCCAAGTACAGAGGAGATTTTGCATTTACAGCGCAGGTGTGATATGCAGTAATGATCATGGAAAAGCTGGCTATTTAAACAGAAAACTGAGCAAATATTAAACTGAGCAAACAGTTCCTTTTGCGCTCAGTGCCTCTGTATGCCTCTATAAACAGCAGAGGAATAATGTCGTTTGAAAGCATTTTACTGGCACCTGCTTTCAGTTTGCCTGGTGAGACTATCTGAGTCTGACAGGCAAATCTGCTCAGGAGGGAAAATTGACTAATCTCATTTGACACTTCTATGTTTATAGTTTGAACCCAGTGGAGCTTTCTACTAAACATGGTTGCGTATAATGAGACTTTACAAAAGGGATGGGGTTTTTTTGCTTTCTTGGGTTTTAAAATCAGTGTAATACCACTTTATGGTTGTAGAGCCTTTTGATATCCTATTGGTCACTGAACAGCCATAACAGTATGCCAGTAAATTTCACTTAATTGTCCCTTAAGTTGCTACTCCCTGTTTGTCAGCAGCCGTCCTGTATTTTAACAAAAAATCAGTCAAATCCATGCAATAAAACAATGTACAATATACATGAACTCCACAGCACTTAAGAGAGTTTATTCCCTGAGCTTCATGCAATGTCATGATCCCTGTCACTATTGCTGTCCAAAATACAGGCATTTCACTGATACTTACACAGAGGTTTTTTCAGACCTTCTGTTTTTCTTCCTGGTGACATCTACTGAACCTCAAGTTTCCTTTTAGTCAAAATACCCATCAAGACTGTGCCTACTCAGATTAAGTCTAAGATTATTTGATGACGAGGCCTATATCCTGTGCTTAGGAAACCTTGACTACACCTGCTATTGGTAGGACCCTCAAAGGGGGTGATCCCCAGAAGTAACTGATGAGAAATATGCTCTGAGAGAATACCAGCAGGGTTAGTATGATAATCAGGAGTTTTTGTCTTTCTTCTGCACCTGGTTTCATATCATAATTTACAAACAAGGGGGCAGGCTGCAGCATTTTACCAAGCAGACTTTGAGCACGAATTCAAGGTATGCCAGAAAAGCCTTTGCCAAGATTGTGGAAGTATATATACAGAACTATAAGAATATTCCAGATACCCCCTATTAAGTTACAAATGCTTTGCATGAATCACTTTACCTATTTTCACCACTATGGGCAGCATTTGTGCCAAAAAATCTTCCCTCTCCTGCAAGGCCAAGAGTGTAACTGTAGGTGTAAGGAATAACCACCCTGAGTTGGATGTCTGTTCACTAAATAAACTGTACCAAAAAACATGGAAATTAGCTCTTGAAGATAATTGTCCGAAAAATTATTGCCCATATGCATTTCATATGGACTAGGCTCCCTAGCTGCCAGCCTCTGTGAATTCAGTCTAGATAACTCTTCCCCCCACTGTTTTTTTTCCTTTTGTTTGTTGTGTGTAGAGCCTGTGCCAATGTACTGTATTGTCTGTGTGACCTTCTTACCTTGCCAATTTCTGTACTGAGTTCATTTGTAAACTGCTTAGAAGTTCATTATGTTCCTAGAGTTGAAAAGGTATCTTTCAGGCTTTACATAACCAACAGCAAGCTCATGTCATGATGATGTAGTAGCTGCATCCTTTTATGGAGGTGTGACATTCTACATTAGGCTTCATAACAAGGATTTATTAATCTTTGGCAATGCAGGTAGTTTGGACTGTACAATAAAGGCCTCTTCAACTGCTGTTCTCACATAATGGTATTGATAAGGTAATTTTCTACTGACTAGGCATTTTAGCTGTGCTTAGCAGGAGATTAAAGGAAAATCATTCCAATGTGCTGCCAAGTACAAAATTAAAAACCAGCTCTTCATACTGTCTTCAAATAGATGGATAAGGGTTCCCTCCAAGAAGAAAAGGTAATGAGTAACTTAATTAAAACCTTACATGCTGAACCTGGCACACAGGGCAAATATAGCTCTGAATCCTTCCCACACTTAGGGCTTGCTGTCATGGCAATGTGCACACATGGGCACCTTCTGGAGCAGAGGCAAGGTGGGAAGAAAGTCAGCTTGTACTAACAGCTGTTTCCATGATGTATGTAGTGAACTATGAACTTTCTTTCACAAATGAATCATGAAAAATAAATGCCTTGACCCTGACTTACGATAGTAGCGTGAAGAGATGTCCTTTGGTGTTTTTCCCATAAACTGTTCTAAGCGATGCCACTAACAGCACACATGAAAAAACCAATATCATCTACCTGAGCTGATTTGGAAATGGTCATGCTTCTAAAGACTCTGATCAACAGTAATGGCTATAAGGAAGAATGTTGCTGAGTGAAAGACAAACTTCTTGATTTTAAGAACACATCTGACACACTTCTCTTCCAAGTCC